GTACCCTGACCTGTACCCAACGGGTCAGTCGGACCCTGTACCCTGACCTTTATCCAACGGGTCAGTCGGACCCTCTACCCTGACCTGTACCCAACGGGTCAGTCGGACCCTGTACACTGACCTGTACCCAACGGGTCAGTCGGACCCTGTACCCTGACCTGTACCCAACGGGTCAGTCGGACCCTGTACCCTGACCTGTACCCAACAGGTCAGTCGGACCCTGTACCCTGACCTTTACCCAACAGGTCAGTCGGACCCTGTACCCTGACCTGTACCCAACAGGTCAGCCAGACCCTGTACCCTGACCTTTACCCAACGGGTCAGTCGGACCCTGTACCCTGACCTGTACCCAACAGGTCAGCCGGACCCTGTACCCTGACCTTTACCCAATGGGTCAGTCGGACCCTGTACCCTGACCTTTACCCAACGGGTCAGTCGGACACTGTACCCAACGGGTCAGTCGGACCCTGTACCCTGACCTTTACCCAACAGGTCAGTCGGACCCTGTACCCTGACCTGTACCCAGCGGGTTGATTGGACCAGTTGGTCCTGTACCCAACAGGTCAGTCGGACCCTGTACCCTGACCTTTACCCAACGGGTCAGTCGGACCCTGTACCCAACGGGTCAGTCGGACCCTGTACCCTGACCTTTACCCAACAGGTCAGTCGGACCCTGTACCCTGACCTGTACCCAGTGGGTTGATCGGACCAGTCGGTCCTGTACCTTTCCATCCTTGTCATATGGAGAGTCAAAGCTGTCCAGGAAGGTCCTGAAGACCTGGTCCTCGGTCCACTCCCCGTTCTGATACTTGGGGTGGTACTTGGCATTGTAAACCCCCTGCAGGTCCTCAATGGTGATGACCCCGTCTCCGGTCTTATCCAGCTTCAGGAATGCTTGCAGGACCACCTCCCTCCGGGCTTTGGACATGGGAGGCTGCGGGGAGCAGAGGGAGGCATTAACTCATAAGTCTTGTTGGATTAGGATTAAATCAGACCGGTCTGCTGCGGTCCTTAGTCCTGAACCCGACTGATTTACCCTCAGAGTGACCAGGAACTCCTCAAAGTCGATGGTTCCACTCCCATCCTTGTCGAAGAGCTGAAACAGATCAGAGACCTCGTCCTTCTCCATCATCACCCCGTAGTCGTTCAGACCCTTTAGGAACTCCTTCAAGTCCAAAGACCGGTTCTCGTTGTCATCCATGATCCTGAAGACCCTGACAAAAAAACAGGTCTCAGATAACAGAGGAACAGAGAGGAGCAACCTGTGGTCCAGGTGAGCCACCAGACCCTCCGTAGTCCAGGTGGTGAGCCACCAGACCCTCCGTAGTCCAGGTGACACACCTGACCCTCTGTGAGTTTGAGGTCCTGCTGCATCATGGACTCAGAGAGGCTCCGACAAGAAAAGCAAAGGAAATCAAACATGTTGCTGAGAGTCCCCCCCGTCCTCCACCCAGACCCAGGTAGGGGTCTCTGCAGTACATGGGGGAGTTTCTTGTTGTGTGGGTGGAGTTTGTCCTAACTGTGATTGGTTGGGGCAACTGAACCGAGGAAATAATGGAACAGTAAAATGATTGTGAACGTGAAAACATGATTTATTGTCTTCAGCTAGCCCCTTCCTGTCTCGAGTTATAGATTTAAAAATGGAGATGTTTCCTGACTGTTTCAGCCAAGCTACCTCCAGCTGCCCCCCAGATTCTTCAAACCCCACCCAAAATAATCAACCTCACCAATTACGTCTTTAACAAACCACGCCCACAAAGTCAAACAGACCAATCATGTCTTGGATAAACTCCTCCCACAAAACAAGAAATACTTACTTAGTGACTGCAGAGGCGCCCAACAACACTCTGTATACATACACACACCTGTTCTGTGAAGTGGGTGGAGCTTACCTGCCCAGACCTTTGATCCCAGAGGAGCCTCTGGTCAGACACTGCAGCCGGAGTTTCTCCAGGGGGTCTGAACATGTGGACAGCTGCTGTTTGGCCTTCAGGGCCATGTCTCTGTCATGTCTGGATGTTCCRGCCATCTCTCACCTGAAACACAGCTGTACTGAGAGACCACACCTGGAAGCAGGACAGGAAACTGGCTCGGGTTTGAACAGATCCAGATGTTTGGTCCCTACAGCAGCTGGAACATAAACACGCCTGTCCTCTGATGTGTCACTCTCCCTGAACCTTAACGAGTTTTTACCTAACGACATGAAGAGCACTGCTACGCTGATGACACCCAGCTCTACCTGTCACCGACTCTGTGAACTCACAATCAGTTTAACTTTTCAAACATCACTAGTTGTGTAGAAGTGTTTATTTTCATGTCAACACAACAAACTTTGWATCAAAGCAAGGTAATTTATGAGCTTTATACATGAACACCGTTGTGATGGTCCATGTGTTTGGTTTAGTTCTGGTCTACGGCTCTTTGGGTTTAGTTTCTGTTCCTCTGTTCTCTGGGCTGATTCTCAGTTTCACCCTCAGCCTGCTAAACACTCTCACCTGTCGGTTTATAATCTGTCCTCCTCCAGGTGTGCCTCATCTGGTCTCTCCCTGTCTGTATCTAACTGGTCTCCTGTCATCACTTCCTCTCTGGTTCAAATAGTTCACACCATCAAGCTGGATCCTCCATGTCTCCCTGAGCTTTGACTTCCTTCTCCTCAGAGCCCTGACAGAAAGAAGCAGCCACCAAGCAGGAACTCTGACCCAGCAGACTTTAGCTACAGCATCAGCATACTGATGATGATGATGATGATGATGATGCACATCCTCTCCTGCACATTTGATCAGAACATCAGGCTGAGAGTGAAACTGAGAGACAAGACAGGAGAACAGAAACTAAAACCAAAGATCATAAAAAACACAAAGAACATAGAATATAACTAAACCAAACACACACAGAGCACGACAACCATAATCAACCAAATCATGAAATTAAAATAATTTAACTATTGGTTGGCTGACCAGAGAATTCTAATCACCCTTAGTTTGTAAAATAAAAACAGGATTTGTTGTTTTACATGTTTTCCCAGATTTCAGTACGACAAATTAAATATGGAACAATTACCATATCATACAGAATACACAGTTTTATCATTTAATAACTCTTATTTAAAACAGTAACCCATCTTATTTATCTATTTTAATCTTCAGTAGTTTATATGAGATTTCCATCTCAGCATTTCATCACTGCTGACACCCAAACACTTCACCTCACTCTATAAATGAACAGAACTTTGATCGTTTTCTTTCATTTACTAAATATCATTTGTTTTATACAAATTCAACGATAATTCAATAAGTTGAAACTAAGTTTGTACCTTAAATTCTGTCTGCATCACCTCCAACATCTGTTCAATGTTTCCACCAGAGTTGAGTCATCAGCAAACAGATTCAGCAAGTCATTCACATGTTAAAGAAACGGTTCAGGACCAAGCTCAGAACCCTGAGGAACTCCACAACTAATATTACAGAGTTCAGATCTCACATCATTTACCTGAACAAACTGTTTCCTGTTATTCAGATAACTAGATACACTGTAGAGATGGTCCTCTAATGCCAGGTTGATTCAGCTTTTAGAGGAGTGATCAGTGGAGCCGAAGGCTTTCTTTAGATCAGGGGTGCCCAAACATTTTCCCTGAGGGGGCCAAAATTAGACGTTTTCCCTGAGGGGGCCAAAATTTAACATTTTCACTGAGGGGGCCAAAATTTAACATTTTCACTGAGGAGGCCAAAATTAAACATTTTCCCTGAGGGGGCCAAAATTAAACATTTTCCCTGAGGG